GCTTTTCCCGAGAGGCTAGCTCCTATGACACTCACAGAGCCCAACTTGGAGCCATCCTCAAGGCTTATATTTATTGAGTTTCAATTGTTTGTCTAGGCTGCAGTGGGGAGGGGCAGCCTCTGACTGCTTACCCGGTGAAGAAAGTCACTCCTCTGGGGGTGGAGCTTCCTTTGCCTAGTGGAGCTGAGCTTGGCAGGTCAGGTCAGGTTCCTGTGACCTGGTGACTGGATCCAATTATATTCTTTCAAGGCCTGAGTTGGAGCTAGCTTCTGGGCCTGGCCTTTGTCAGTATCAAAGATGGGGATCCTTTCCAGTGGTGAGGGATAGGCTACTGATCCAACGCTGCTCCATAAGAAGGAGTGAGGATGCCAGGGTTCTACTCATGCCAGACTTTTGGTTCCTGGGCTGTCCCTGGTCTGCGATTATGATGAAGATTTCTGCACCTTGTTAGTTCTTGCTGGTGGTAAGTAGGATCCACTCACAAGCTTCATCTGGAGCCCTTGTCCCAGACTTTCTCTGTTGGTATGGTGGCCACAGCTGCAGCTGTGGCTACTGGCAAGTGCTCAGATCTGTCTCCTTGACCAAGCTGCCTGGATTTCCCTCTCTGGCCAAACTCTCTGTACTGTGATGGCACACTTGGTGTGATTCTCTAGCCTAGGACTGTTCACTGGAACACTAAAACTGCTTTCTATGGGAGAGCTTGTTTATCCTCCAGCTTCTCTTCCTCCATTTTCCTCCAGTCTCTGTGTAGATCATTTCTAACATATTGCCTTATATATGTCACTGTCCCATTGGTTCCCCTTTGTTTTTTGTCTCACTATTCTATCATTCCCCTCTCTTCTCTAATTCAAATAAATGTGTATATAACACCAGAGTACCAAAATCAAATACAGTGACAATAGGAGAAAGAACATACAAAATAAACTAAAAATCACATAGTACATTAAAAAAGAACAACAACAAAGAAAACCTCTTGTGTCCATGTTTTTGAGTTCAGATAGCTTAGCATCATCTTATATGGTCATTTTTACGTAGCTATAATCTATTCTGTTCATTTGATAAGATTATCCTAGATGTATAGTAATTATTGCAAATAAGGGAAACCATGAGACCTGTGTTTCTTTGGGCCTGGCTTACTTCACTTAATGTGATTTTTTCCAAGTCTTTCCATTTTCTAACAAATAGGGTGGTGTTATTCTTTCTGATAGAGGCATAGAATTCCATTGTATATAAATATACCACATTTTCTTGATCCATTCATCTACTGAGGGGCATTTGGGTTGGTTCCATATCTTAACTATGGTGCATAATGCTGTGATAAACATAGTTGTGCTGATAGCTTTAGTATAACCTTGTTTGAAATCATTGGAGTAAATGCCCAGAATTGGGATTCCTGGCATAGGGGAGCTCTGTGTGTAATCTTTTGAGGAGCCACCACACTGCTTTCCAGAGTGGTTGAACAAGTTTACACTCCTACCAGCAGTGCAGTATGGTTCCCTTTTGGCCATATCTCCTCCAGCATCTGTTGTTATTAGAGTTCTTGATTATAGCCATTTTAACTGGGGTGAGATGGAATCTCAATGTTGTTTTGATTTGCATTTCTTTTATAGCCAGAGAGATCGAGCATTTCCTCATTTGTCTATTGGCCATTCTTATTTCTTCTTCAGAGAAGTCTCTCTTTAAGTCTTTCACCCACTTATTAATCGGCGGTTGTTTTTTGAGGATTTGTTTTTTGGGGATTTAATTTTCTGAGTTGTAAGTTTATTTTATATGAGGCCCTTGTTGTTTTGTGGCAAGTAAGATCTTCTCCCAATCTGTGGACTTTCTATTGATCTTGCTAGCTATGTCCTTTGCTATGCAGAAACTCTGCAGTTTCATACAATCCCATTTGTCCAACCTTTCTTTCATTTGTTATGTTTCTAGGTCTTTATTAAGAAAATTTCAGCCTGTGCCAAGGAGTCTTATTCCTTCCTGCAATAATTTCAGGGTGTCTGCTTTGACTTCAAGGTCTTTGATCCATTTGGAGTTGATTCTGAAGCAGAGTTATATATAAGGATCTAACTTTAGTTTTCTATAGACATTTAACCAATTTTGCCAGTACCAAATACTGAAGAGGCTTTCTCCCATCCTATTGTTTTTGGCTCTCTTATTGAAGATTAGGTGGCTATAGGTCTGCAGATTCATTTCTGGGTTTTCAATTCTATTCCATTGGTCCTCAGATCTCTTCTTGTGCCAGTACCAAGTTGTTTTGATTAATATGGCTTTGTAATAGAGTTTGAAGTTTGGTATTGATATTCTTCCTTCACTGTTCTTTGTGCTAAGGATTGCTGTTTGGGGTCTTTTATTATTCCATATGAATTTTTGGATTGCTTCTCCTATTTCATTAAAAAGTGAGGTTGGGATTTTGATGGGTATTGCATTGAATTTATAGATAGCCTTTGGCAGTATTGCCATTTTCATGATGTTAATCCTCCCAATCAGGATTCATTTCAGGGTGAGAAGGTGGTTCAATATAGGCAAATCAATTAATGCAATTCATCACATCAATAAGGATGTGTACCACATGATTACCTCAATAGATGCAGAATTTGAAAAGATCCTACGCCCTTTATGATAAAAGCTTTGAAAATCTAGCAATCCATGGAACAGTCTTCAATATAATAAAGGTTGTGTATGACAAACCTCCAGCCAGCATTATACTTAATTGTTAAGAGCTAGAGCCAATTCCTCTAAACTCAGGATGAGTCAAGGATGTCTGCTCTGTACTCTGACTTCTGTACTTTCTATTCTGCTATCATGTATCTGTCTGTCTGTAGGTAGATGTGTCATAGTATTCTCTTGCTTAATGTAATTTAAGATTTTCATTATCCTGTTATTTTTATATTCCTTCAAAGTATTCTAATGATCATTGTTGCTTTATCTCTTTCAATAAGTTTACTGTTTCTGGAATGTTTAGTACAAAAAAAGCCTACAACACATTTTAAGTGACTAGTCAATGTTACATTGCAATGTCAAAACTACTGATGATTGACTTTCATACACACAAAGGTAAACATAGATTCTTATTTTTTATTCAATGTTCAAACATTTCTGTATCCACTGACTTGTAGGTTTGAAAGGAAGTTAAAATCTTATTCATCACCTAGAAATGTTTGACTTCATCTTGCCAAATAGTTACTATACTAAGACTTCAATAGCTCTCTTTTTACACAAAATGAATAAGTGAATGACTAATTTCTAAAACCACACGCAATATCCTTTGCATTAGTTTTTGTAATTCTGCAAGCAAAATTCCATTCACTTAATATATGAATGTATTTGTGGAAAAGACGAATAGTGAAATAACTAAGGAACCATTCTTATTTGAAGAGAGAATTGACATATGTAGACTGCTAATAACATCTTAGGACTTCAGGGCTAATGGTGTCCCAAGAAGTCATGCTTCCTCCATGAATCCTAAAGCAGAAAGTCTGCACTTACCTCTTAAGCTTGGATCATTGTCATTACAGTCTGCTTGAAGTAGAAATATAAGCCTTATTCTGAACTGGGATAGGAACTGAGCCCTTGTCCCGATCATCAATATTGGAAAAAAATGTCAATTAATACCATGAATGGTTAGACTTTTCTGATCAATGAAAATCAAATTATAGTTGAGTGTTGGACCCTATAGTGTTTCTTTACTTTCCCGTTCTTGTAATTCTAGCAACACTGTACCTCCTGTACTCTCTGGGATAGCATCACTAAAATATACAAATTAATATTTCATAAATCTCATTATTCCCAGCTTCACCCATTTAAGTATTAAAAAACCATGAAGGATAATTTTGGAAGCTAAGTCTAAAACTGTATGTTTGCATCCTGGCCTTATGCCGAACCAGTGTTACATGACATGTTAAAATCAAATTTGGATACAGATTGGTTATAAAAGGTATTCATAACACTTGACAATGTTGATAAATTTGTGGTGCTCAGTGGAGACTGGACATCACAGGTGTCTAAATGGAAGTCACTCTTTGCTTTCTGTGAATGGACAACAGAAATTGAGTCTGTCACAGATGCTATGATTTTTATTTCAGAAAATTTGTTTCCCTGACTCTAATTATCCCCAAAGCACCTCAGTCTATATAAAGCACTGGAAAGAGCCAGCATTTTTTTTTCAATTTCAGTACTTTGATATGTTAAGTTTTTTTTTTAAAAATCTACTACAAGTTGTCAGGAAAAAGTAATTTCAAATTAGGAAGAGGCTCTTCTCTTTATAAGATACTGTTTTCAGCTAAGTTTTACACTTGGAAATCAGAAAGAAATAATACCAAGCCATCATTTAATAACATAGTGAGAATTAGACAGACTATTTTTTAGAATGAATCATGAAATCAGAAATATGTTAAGTTTACCCACTTAGGGTAGAAAATGGGAAAATAGGAAACCCTAAGCATAAAAATATTAAATAATCTTAAGAATGCCTTTTTCTTATCAAATATTAATGTGTGAATCTGTCACTATTGTAATCTGTGGTTATTTACATAGAGACCAAGGGATTAGAGACACATTGTAGAGGAAGTACAATTCTGCTTCATATGAGCATGGATAAACCAGGAATTTCTTTTTCCCTAAAAGAGAATATTGCTTTTTCAACAATTCAACACAAAAAGTGATAGGGGAACCTGTTCTATCTATTTCAAAAGTAGTTTCTTCAAAATTGACTGAAGGAAACCAGCTCAATTAGGATACCTTTGACTGTAGAAATCTCTAAGAAGTGATGCTAGCTCTGAAAATCCTTGATAATAGACTAGTATTGTTGGATGACTTAATTAGGAAATATAGTATCACTAGATTTCTTTGGGATATTTTAAAATGGGACTCCAAATCATTTTGCATGTCTTTCTCTTTGTATTAATGCAATTCCAACTCAGGGAATGGTTAATTGAACTGAGAAATAAATGTGTTTACTGGTAATTGCTTAACCTTTGAATTGTAATTACAATTTTATATTCTTGTAGGATTATTTAACCATTCATAAGTATGGCAATGCAGCCAGAAATGATCTCTGGAATACATTATCAGAGGTAATGTATAGGAAGCTGAAATATCAAAATGTCTTCTAGAACATTTGAATTGAATTCATGAAACATTATTAACTTTTATTGATGCTAGCAGTTTATCTTTACTTTTATATTTCTTCCTTTGTTCATATTGTTTTCTTGCTTTATCTTTGATATAACAAAAAATCATAGGTTCTAAATTTTTTTGTATTTCAATCTTTTTAATTGTGAAAATATTGTACAGATGGGTTACAATTACATGAGCAAGATAATGAGTACATTTCTTATCAAGCATTGTTGCCTCCTCCTTTATTTCCTCTTTCCATCCCTTCCCAACCACCCCCCCCCCACACCAAAGTTGTAAAGTTCGTTTTTCGACATAACGTCTTGTACATCTCATTGTTGCAATAGGTCCGTCCACCTGTATACCTATTTAAACAATTTGTTTTTTCCCTTCTCCTCCCCAGGCCCAAAGAAATATAGGTCCCATGGTTTCCCTCATTTGCAATAACTAGTATATGTCAAAGCAAGCAGAAATGGTCAGATAAGTTGATGTTAGGCGAAACGAACCCCAAGATAAGGACTCAAATGGTTTTTCTTTCTTGCTATTGTTTCTAATTTATTTATAAGATGATTTTTTTGTTGCTTTGTATGTCCCTCCCCCACGGTATAACCCCTGTTTTCTAAAGTTTTTTAGCTACAAATGATGGTAAAAATTATACCTTATATTACTTTAAAAAATGATAATATTTCTAAACTGTAATTTTTTTTGGTGCTGGTATTGGGGCTAGAATTCAGAGCTACATGCTTCCCCTCATCTATTTTGCTCAAGGATGTTGTTCTGTTACTGAATACACACCTCCATGTCTAACATACTGCTTAATTGGAGTTAAGTGTTTCTCAAATTTGTCTTCTTTGAACCAAAGAAGACTGGCTTTGAATCAAAATCTTTAGATCTCAGCCTCCTGATTAGCTATGATTACAGATATGAGCCATTGGTGCCCTGCCATTATTTTTTAAATGCAAATTTCATGTGGTGTCAGAGATCTGTGTTAAATATGAAAGTTTTAAGGATTTTTTTCTATGTGAGAGTGAATACTCTTGGCATACTAACTTTTGCTACAAGTAACATGCTACAATAATAAAGTATGTTTTATTCCCTACTATGTAAAACTTTTAATATTAATAGAACTTCCATGTATGCATAGATGAAGCAAAACTTAAGGCAAGAAGATTAATTTTGGTGACTCATCACCTTAGCTTCACTGATTTTAATCTTCTCATTTTTTAGGTAAAATATAAAGGTAAGAGTGAAAATATTAATTAAGTTCACATTAAATTCTTATAAAATTCATTTATATAATTCTGGTTGTAAAGGCTTTAAGGAGAAATGGAAAATATGTAAATATACAAGAGGTAATGGATCAGTGGACATTGCAGATGGGCTATCCTGTTATCACCATCTTGGGAAATACAACAACAGAACACAGAATAACAATTACCCAACAACATTTTATTTATGACATCGGCGCAAAAATTAAAGCAACTGAACTTCAAAATAACAGGTATGCCATTCTTTTTTCATGGAAAGTAGATAGTTTAATATTTCACTTTGTAATGTATGTGTTCTAAAAAGCATTGATAGCATAATTCTGCAATATTGTGAGTGAAATAGAGTTTTGTTTGTTGGCACATAATGATTTTATTTTGTGCTTCTTTTTTTATTTTGTTCTTCTTTTACTCATTTTTCCTGGATATTTTAACTTGATGTGTTACTATTTCAGAAGACAAATCTTATATGATCAAAATTATTTGTAAAAGTATTCTGCCTTTCTATTTTTCTCCATAAAAGTTTCTTGAGCTAAATTCAAGGAAGTTAGAATGTTTGACAGTGAATTAAATAGAATGGAATAAAGGAGAGATTTATAGGACAAATGAAACCCAAACTAAACCGTGGAAAGCTAATTAAAATCAACAAAATTCTAAACTAAATAATGTTACAGTCTCAAAGAAAGATTATTTCTTAGTCTCAAAGAAAGATTAGACAGATATGTCACTTGGCACAAACTATGTATCAATACTACCTTTTCTTTTTCTTATGTTAAGATTTAAAATCACTAACCAGATAACAAAAACAGAATCTTCTTTTTTTCTTTTTTTATTGTGAAAATACCGTACAGAGGGGTTACAATGAGATGTACAAATCGTTATGTCAAAAATAGAATCTTGACTAATTACTTTTTGTTTGGAAATTTTTACTTAATAACTGATAATCATGAATGGTTTCTTCCTCTTCACTTTTGTATTTTCTATTTTTTGTTTTCTGCTTTATGTCTCTTCTTTTATAGGCAGAGCAAAAGAAAGATAGTAATACATTTATCAGTGAGTGTCATTTCTTATAAGATGTCACAGTAAGAGATTGGATGAAGAAAGTAGGATGAGAGAATAAAATTAATCAATAAAAGGAGATGTTTAGAGTAGGTTTGTAAAACTCTTTCTCATCACTAACTTTATCCACCACCGTTATCCAGGAGACCAAGAGCACACCGTTTACTTTGTCATTCCTAAGATGAAGAGAAAGCATTTCCAAATCAGCCAGTTTCAGTTTGGTTATAAAAAGAAATGATTGAGAAATTCATTGTTTTCTGGTGACTATATTTGGAACCTGGTTTAGGAATCCCTCGCAGTGTCTTAAATTCCCTTCACCACATAGTTATGGACTCTAATACAATATGTCTTTTCACCCCCCATGTATTAACTCCTGGCATATGGAGTCAACTTGCCACACTATCACCACCCTTCTCCATTTGAATGCCACAGTGCCTAAACCTTATAGATGGTGAATGCTTTTAATTATTCACTTCTGGTCCCAAGCAAAACATACTCAGGCATTGGCCCTGGCCCTACCAGAGAGCACATAAAAACTACTTGAGTGTGTCCAAGTTAGAACCAGATCAGACATTTGAGAATATTCAATTTGACATAAGCATTACTCCTACCCCAAACATACACAATATATTCTGAAAAAAGTACTTTGTCAATCTATAACATACATCAGATGTAGTAGTCATAAGTATTGTCCTTTAAAGATAAATAGATTTCCCTTGCTAGAGAAGCATGTGCAGTCATCTAGAGAGCTTCACATTTGCTGGAACTGTAAAATCATATGGATGTTTTTGAACTCCAGGAACTTAGCATATTAACTATTAACAAGGAGGCATCACAGGACACCACACTAAGTCTCAACAATGATTATCTATATTAATATAATAGAACTTGTGATTCTATGTTGTATTCCAAGTTTATATCACTGTGATATTCCAGTCAACATTTTAATACTAATTCTTTCTGCCCTTGTCCATAATTTTTGTAGCTCATTATTATGCTAAATAAGCAGTTGATGCAGTAAGACTTATGCTAGAAATCCTAGAAGTTGTGGGTGTTTTCTGAGCCAGAACAATTAATTCTTTGTTTTCATCATGCTAAGGGACACTGGAATACAATTACATCATGTGTGTGGGGAACATTTTAATATATCCAGGAATTATATTTTTCCATGTGTGTAATAGTTGTATTACAGTGTAGAAGGGAGAGGTCTTTACATAATGAATAATTTCATGGTTAGTCCATGTATAACTGTGAAATTTCTGCTATAGTTTTGGTACTTTGGAAGCTGTGAGTCTGCCTTTTCATTTTATTATATTTAAAAATAAAGTTAGTTCGTTGCTCTGTTATGTAGTCTCCTCATATACCACAGTACACTTCCCAGTGCTCTGCTGTTGGGAATAGTATTTATCGCCATAATCGTGCTTCTCTTCTCTTGTGGAGTGATGGAAGCAATCTTTAAACAGTTTTCACAGTCTACGATAATCCTTCAGTAATGCTGATGTTTTTTTTTTTTTTAAATTTCCATTCTAGCTAAAATATGTACCTATTTATTTCTTTTAATATAATCATTAGAATAAATGTTGCTTTGCTGTAAAAATGCCAACAATTGATAAAGAGAGGTAGTCTCGGGGACCATTAAAGACAAAAAATACCTGGAGAGTCGTTTAAAATGCAATTAAAAAAAAAACTTTTTCATGCATAGAAGGGAGTAACTAAAATTCCAGCAGCTAGAATACAAATGCATGCACAAATTCTTTTTTTGTCTGTTTTGCAACAAACAAACCCAACCAAGTCTTGGATTTCTATACAGCCTGCCAAAAGAGGCATTTCACTCAACTGTCTCACACCTTCTAATCTTTTAACATGGCAAGGGAAGACAATAAAACATTTATCATATTTTCCTTGATTTTAAAATGAAAGAAACAATCAAATCTATGTTGCTTGAAAAGACCTTGGAAATAGATAATGTTCACAACTTACAGTATTTATGATTAAATACCATTTTCAAATGTGCTTGGTAATTCCTTTTTCTTTTACTTTTTTTTTTTTGTGGGGGGGAGTCCAGTCGTGGGCCTGAACTCTGGGCCTGGACGCTGTCCCTCAGCTCTTCAGCTCAAGGCTAGCTCTCTACCACTTGAGCCACAGTGACACTTCCGGCTTTTTTCCTTTTTGCTTATGTGGTGCTGGGGAATCGAACCCAGGGCCTCATGCATGCATGGCAAGTGCTCTACCACTGAGCCACCTTCCCAGCCCCGTGCTTGGTAATTTCTAACGTTAGTTTGTCTTTTTAACAATATATGAATTTAATGTGTATGTGTGTGTACCCATGTAGAACTGAGAGGAAAAACATTCCCAGGGAAATATATTTTTTCTATTTTAAGGTTTTATAAAACATCCCAGTCTTGTGTCCTCAGCTCTTATAATAGCTTTTTAAAAATCTGAACAGTTGTCTGATTAAATGTTTGCCCTAAGAAATTTTGTATAGTACTCACTCCAAGAAACATGAAAGTGGGGTATATAGATCATTTCCCTCCATATTTTAGATATGTTTGAAATTTAAACTAATCGTAAAGAAAATCAAGTATATCATATCTAGTTACTTAGCCAAACACAGTTCAAGTATCTGCAAAATTATTTGTTTTAGGGATAAACAGTGTTTCACAAACATTTTTTGAAATAAAATAATTGTTTCTTACACTGTTGGTGGGAATAAAAACTGGTTCAACCACTCTGGAAAGCAGGATAAAGGTTCCTCAAAAGACTAAACATAGAGTTTCCCTATGATCCAGCATTCCCTGAGCATTTACCCAAATGATCACAAACAAGGCTACACTAAAGCTACCAGTGCAGCCATGCTCATTGCAGCATTATTTACCATAGCTAAAATACAGAACGAACCCAGATGCCCCTCAGTAAATAAATGGATCAAAATGAAGTAAGAAAATGTGGTATATATACACAATGGAATTCTATGCTTCCATTAGAAAGAATGACATTGCCTCATTCATAAGGAAATGGAAAGACTTAGAAAAAATCATATTAAGTGATGTAAGGTAGAACCAAAAAAACATAAGCTCCATGGTTTCCCTTATTTGTAATAATTAGTGTATGTCTAGGATAGTCCTAACAGAGGACTAAGTAGCTCAATAGCTATGTACATATGACCATATAAAATGATGCTAATTGAAATGAACTCCAAGATATGGAAATAAGAGGGTTTTATTTTTTGTTGTTTTTATTTATTTATTTATTTCCTGACTTATTTTTTTCTTTTTTTTATTGTGAAAATACCATACAGAGTGTTTACAATTACATGGGCAAGGTAATGAGTGCATTTCTTATCAAGCATTGTTGCCTCCTCCTTTTTTTCCCCTTCCTGTCCCTTCCTATCTCTCTCCCCCTCCTCCGCCCCTGACCCTCTCACCCCTCCCCCCCATGCCAAAGTTGTAAAGTTCATTTCCAACAACATCTTGTACATCTCATTGGTGCAATGGGTCCACCTGTATCCCTATTTAAACAACTTGTTTTTTCCCTTCCCCTCTACTGTATGAAGTTATTTTTTTCTCTCGTTTTTTCCCCCTTTGCTTTATACCCTGTTGTCACTGATTTTGATTTTGGTAACCTGTATCTTGTATATGTGTTTGAACTTTACAACTTAGGGGAAGAGGGGAGTTGGGCAGGAGGGAAAATGGGAGAAAACAAGGGAGGGGGCAACACTGTTTGACAAGAATGTAACCCCTATGTACATCCTCTTTACAATAAAATTAAATTGAATTTTAAAAACGATTTTTACATATCCTCAAATTTGTATATCACTTACTTTTTAAGTGATAATTATTTGGCTTCATATTCAGTTAACTCAGTTCAATGTGGAAGATATTTATGATAAAGATAAGTTCACAAAGTTAACATTCATCTGACATACATTGATTTTTTTTTCCAATTTGGTCCCTACTTGGACTGATTTCAGTCATATTCAACAATACATAAAGTGCTTTCTTTCCCCACTTTTCCCCCAAGATGTTTTGGTAGTCTGTTACCAAAATAAAGATACATTTATGCCATATGATACAACAAACACCTCCTGGATATGTGTTCAAATGATAAATGTACATAAATACTTGTATGAAAACAGTCATATAGTCTAATTCCAGTCTAATTCTAGGTATAACTGATGAATCAGACTCAAAGTGGAAGCATTATTAACTAGTTATTCCAATTAACAAAAAAAAGTTTCATTAACTGAGATGTTCATTACCTTTAGGAAACTTTGAGCCTTCTTCAAAGTAAATCCATCATTAAATATGAGAGAGGGTTGTTTCTATGTTAGAGGCTTCATACTATTTATAAAAGCACTTCCACAAATGGTATTTCACCAACTAAATAATCAGTTTCAGGTTCAACTACTTTAAATAATGTCCTGATCAGTTTTGTGGAGTAGATCATAGTGCAATATAGTGTTTTCATGTAATTGACACTGCAAAATGTTTCTGTCACTACGTATGGCATAGAACTGTAAAATTTAGAGTCTTAAACATATTATTTCAGCTTTCCACAGTGTAAATAATGTTGATTAAGAATTAACACATTTTTCTAATCTTCTATTAGACTCTGGTGTCTTCTAATGCTGTCTTTGGGAATGAAACTATGACACAAACAAACGAAAAATTCCACACAACAGACTCATTGGAGGCACTCTCACCCAGATATGTTTTCATGGAACTTATTACTACAAGCATGGCATTCTGAAAATTTTTATTCACCATGCACTTTCATGAATGACTGAGCTCATAAAACATCCCTTCCTTCTCTTGTAGTAAAAATATTTTTCTTATGGTAGAAATGTTGGCCACCCCTGTTGCTAATGGTACATAGGAAATGTTGGATTTTGCTCCAAAATACAGTTGCTAGATTTATTGTAAACCATGCAGCATATGTCTGGCTACTCAATTGGGGTAAATTGATAGTACATCATGTCCGAGTGTAAGCCTCAATTTTAGCCCATGAGGCACATGAAATGAAATGATTCTCTTTAATAGCTGAGATGTGTGACTCCCCCTGGATGTTGGTAGGTGCTTTGACACATCTATTTGGAAATTCCATGTCAGAAAACAGAGCATTAAAGATGCCCATTTTCTCTGTAGTCATGTTGATCCATGTTTATTCTTTCTTGGGCAAAGGTAGGTGTGCCAGATTAATCTCTCTGTAAAGCATGTTAATAGTGTCCCTCAGAATTTCTACCCAAGAAGTAAAGAGAAGGTTGAAATGTAAACATACACAACCATTGAACAAATAAAAAGTATTTTTTAGACTTTTAACCAATAAATTTTGTGTTTCAGATTCCAGTTAAATTTTATTTCTAAAATCCAAATTCTTTAGCATTGACCTTTATTAGAGATTAAGATTTTTTTCTTTTTTTTAATTTTAATTTTATTTTTTGTGAACATACTTTACAGAGCTGTTACAATTACATGGGCAAGATAATGAGTACATTTCTTGTCAAGCATTGCAGCCTCCTCCTTTGTTTACCCTTCACATCCCTTCCCAGCCTCCCCCCTGCCCCCCCCACCCCTCCCCACCGCACCGAAGTTGTAAAGTTCATTATCGACATGACAACTTGTACTTCTCATTGTTGCAACAGGTCCACCTGTATCATTAAATGACTTGTTTTTCCCCATCTCCTCCACAAATTATACCGACATCAAATACAGTGAAAGCAGGCGTTATACTGTGGGGGGAGGGACATACAAAGCAACAAAGAAATAATCTTATAAATGCGTAAGAAACAAATGCATGAAAGAAAAAAAAACTTTTAAATACATATCTAAGGGTTCATTTTCCTAACATCACATTATCTGACCTTTCCTGCTTGACTCATACATATACTAGATATTGCAAATAAGGGAAACCATAGGACCTATGTTTCTTTGGGCTTGGCAGAGGAATTTCTCTGAAGAAGAAAGAAAGATGGCCAATAGACACATGAAGAAATGCTCAACCTCCCTAGCCATAAAAGAAATGCAAATCAAAACAACATTGAGATACCACCTCACCCCAGTTAGAATGACTATAATCAAGAACTCTAATAACAACAGATGCTGGAGGGGATGTGGACAGAAGGGAACCTTACTTCATTGTTGGTGGGAATGTAAACTTGTTCAACCACTTTGGAAAGCAGTATGGAGGTTCCTGAAAAGACTTCACATAGAGCTCCCTTATAATCCAGCAATCCCACTTTTGGGCATTTACCCAAATGTTTACAAACAAGACCACACTAAAGTTACCAGCACAACTATGTTTATTGCAGCATTATTTACCAGAGCTAAGATATGGAACCAACCCAGATGCCCCTCAGTAGATGAGTGGATCAAGAAAATGTGGTGTATATACACAATGGAATTCTATGTCTCCATCAGAAAGAATGACATTGCCCCATTTGTTAGGAAATGGAAAGGCTTGGAAAAAATTATATTAAGTGAAGTACGTTTTTTTTTTAATTGTGAACATACAGTACAGAGGGGTTACAATTACATGGGCAAGATAATGAGTACATTTCTGATCAAGCATTGCAGCCTCCTTCTTTGTTTATCCTTAAGTTTTCTTAATTGATAGAGTAACTTCATCTTCTTGACTTACACTTTTATTTTATTTATTTATTTACTTACTTACTTACTGACTTGCATTTTATGGAACAGAGGAATAGAAATCACAAAGAAAAATCATATGTAGGAAATGTTTGATTTTGCTTTTATCCTGACTGAGTTACTTCCATTCTTAAAGCTTCTCTTCTTTATTTTTCAGTTACCTGTGGCAGATTCCATTAACAATTGTGGTGGGAAATAGAAGCCATGTGTCTTCAGAAGCAATTATTTGGGTGTCTAACAAATCAGGTAAAATACACATTCTTCCCTAAGGAACTATTTGGCTTTAGATAATTGTTCAGTTACCTAACTTCTGTTTTTAGCTGTTAGAAAATGTGAATAAAGACGAATTATAAACAGAAAATACAGTAATGGCAATTATTTCTACAGAATTAAGTATAATTCCTAGGTAGTCTCACTTCAGGTTGCCTACATAATTATTTAATTTGTTTCTGTGATGATAAAGAGATTTTAAATTCCCAATGTATACTACTAATCTTATATGGTTTAAAATATATAATTTTATATCTTCAAGTGCAGTTATGATATAATCATAACTTCCAAGTGAATAATATGAGAAGTACTGAAATATAGGTTGATTTGAAATCCCATTTTTTCTTCTTTCCTTTTTTAATTTTTTAAAATTTAAAGATATAGTACAGAGGGGTTACAGTTACACGAGTAAGGTAATGAGTATATTTCTTATCTCTTTAAAGGACTAAGCAGATAATATTCTCCATAAGGGAGGAGAAGAGGGGTTTAGACAGGTCATGGAACCACCTCTTAAGCTGAGTCAAATCTGAAGGTAGAGAAAGAAAAGATTCTATTCTCTTTCTAACTATCTTCAAATATGATAGTGACTTATTTCATTTCACTGTCAGAAAGCTATTTCTTGAATGCAATCTATATCCTTCATGCTAGAATGTGAAACAAGACACTTTCATTTCTACTTCCCACTGAGCTGGAGAAAAAGCCAATTACAATATTTTATCTAACATTTCATTTAGGTTGAGTTGGTCAAGTGCACCCATTTGTGTTTTCCATACTCCTTTCTCACATGCTCTTAATTGATGTTTGCTATTTTTGTAAGCATCATTTTAAACAACTACATTAAGTAATATAGTTAGGTATGTATAAAATATTTTTTTTTAATTTGGCACTTGTGGTTCATCCCTGTAATTCAACTATTCAGGAGGTTGAAATCTCAGGATCTTGGTTTAAAGCCAGCCTAAGCATGGAAGTCTGTGAGACTTTTATATCTAATCAGCCCGTTCCCCCACCTCCCCAATCTAGAAGTAGAGCTGTGGTTCAAGTGGTGAGTGGTAGCCTTGAGCAAAAATGTCATGGACAGGGCATAGGCCCTCTTGTGTGGGTGTGTATGGGCACACACACATACACAAACATACACATTCACTATAGATTTCTCTCTCTCTCTTTATCTATGTATAGTTTTTCCTTTTTGTTTTGATATTAGGAGTGAATATTAAGTGCTCAATATACACAACATCCATATAAAATATTTTGGATTTTTATTTTCAGATTTTAATGTTATTGAATTTACATGTTATACAAATTATAACATGTTATTACATGTTATAAAAATATATACTTTTGTGAGTGGTACTGTGGCTCAAGTGGTAAGTGCTTGCCTTGAGCTCAAGAGCTCTGGGACAGTTACCAGGCCCAGAGTTCAAGCCACACAACCAACTATATATATATATATATATATATATATATATATACACATACATATGTATATATATAGTTATATAGTTGTAATTGTGTGTATATATAGTACATATGCATTCTATATATAGTATATATACATACTATATATAGTATATATATGCTTTCACCTAGATATATTTCATAATAAATACATTTATTTAATAGAATAATACATTGAAATGCTTATTTTAACATTTATTGGTGTTTCTCCTTCTAAATAATTACAATCTATTCTTCTCATCCCTTGGAATTAGAATTTATAACAATGTTCTGCATTCACACTTATGTTTCTCTATACTTCTCTTTTCACTCATAACTATTTTACTTATCTGTATAATTTGTTATAAATCAATGAAAAGAAGCAGTGAGTTGCTATTACTCTCCAAAGGTTAGCATGAAGTTAGCCCATTACAGGAAAGCAAGCAGAATGAGACTGAAAAGAAGTAAAATAAAGGCATTCATCTTTGGAAGGTAGAATGGAAACAGGAAATCAGAAAAGTGTAGAGATACTGACTCAATATAAGGATTAGCCCAACACTTTACTTTTGGACAGTGGGAGGATTTAATGCATTTTTTTTTACACTTTATTTTATTGTGAAGATGCTGTACAGAAAGGTTATAGTTACATGAGTAAGGTAATCAGTACATTTCTTGTCCAACTTTGTTACCCCTTCCTTTGTTTTTCCTACTATCCCTTCCCTTCCCACCTCCTGCATTTCTTCCCTCCACCCATCCCCTCTCCCCAGGGGGCAAAATTGTAAAGATCATTTCCAGCATAGTATCTTGTGAGTATCATTGTTGCAATGGGTCATCTCGTATCCTTGTTTCAGCATTTTGTTATTCTCCTTTCTCTCCCCAAATTAGATAAATGTATATACAAGATGCAGGGTAACAAAATCAAATACAATAACAACAGGGGATATACCATAGGAGGAAGAACATACAAAAGAAAAAACAAAAAATTACACAGTACATTAAAAATAGCAACAGTGATCATATCTTAGAGTTCATTTCACTTAGCATCATCTTATATGGTCATATATACACAGCTTTTTGAGATTTTTCTGCTCATCTGATAAGATTATCCTAGACCTATACTACTTGTTGCAACTAAGGAAAACTATGGGACCTATATTTCTTTGGAGTCTGGCTTACTTCACTTAATATGAATTTTTTCAAGTCTTTCCATTTCCTAACAAATGAGGTGGTGTCATTCTTTCTGATGGAAGCATAGAATTGAAACACAAGTTTTTGTTGTTGTTGTTACACATAAGTTACATGTCCATTTTCTATAACTCTGATTATTTCTATGCTGTTATTCCTTGTACCCCCTTAGTCTACACAGAGTCAGGAATAATATTAGAGTTTTTCTTGACCACAGCCCTTGGTGTCTTTTTGAGAAACAAATTATTTTTAAACCTTTTCATTATTAGTCAGGAAAAGAAAAGACTGTATTGGTTCAACCCTGTTTGCCTAACATATTGCCTGTACTAACATATATGGTCTTCATACAAATCTACACAATTTGTGGAATGCATAATCTAAGAGTCATTATTTTCATGGACGATGATATGAAGAGCATAGTTCCCTAACCCAAAACTTACAGTGTACAATGAGAACAGTACAATATGACATTTTCTATTAAAGCAGAGCAGAATGTTCTATTTGGTATAAACATTGTTACTGGTAAAATGTGGAAACGTTATGGAATGTCCCTATTAACTAGATGCTTTCTGTAAGCTTCATGTATATAAAGCTGTGAAAGAAAGTTTCCAGAAGACCTTTGAAAAAGCTTACCTTTGTATTTGGACTTTTCAATTCCACTACAATTGTAGTTAATTTAATCTCAAAAGCTTTCCTTTTGATGACTAATAATAAAACTAATACCAGAGGGAATTTAGGGGGAAATAGCTTATTAACTTTAATTTTTTTTTCGGTTGTTGAACTCTGGGCTTGGGCACCATCCCTGAGCTCTTCAGCTTAAGGCTAGCACTCTACCACTTGAGCCACATCACCACTTCCAGTTTTCTGGTGGTTTATTGGAGATAAGAGTCTCATGGACTTTCCTGACCTGGCTGGCTTTGAATTGCGTTCCTCAGATCTCAGCCTCCTGAATAGCTAGGATTACAGGCAGGAGCAACTGTTTTCTGGGTAGATTATTAACTTTTTATCCTTCTGAATGTTTTCATGTCTCTTTTGTTCAAAAATCAATGAATTTTTCTTTTCTCCAAAAACATAAAGAAAATATTCTGGTCCTTTTATTTTTAATTCCGCGTAAGTGAAAATAAATTTCAGATTTAACCACATCAATATATTTGCAGTCTTCACTGTCCATAGTAATATAGATGTGATCTAACAGGCAAAGTTATTGGTAGATAAAATGCTTTTTTTAAAAAAAATTAACCAACCTACATAATGGTTGCTTCATTTTTAGAATATTTCTTATAAGTATTTACTATCAATTTAATGTGTATTTTATTGTGGACTAAAATGGCTTTTCAATCAATTTTTAAGTTTTTCAAAGGAAGTTAGAGTGTTTATCCTTTTCATTCTTGCCATGAATTTGGGCATTCACAAATGAATGTTGTAGCTTACATTTTGACAAGTTCTTCAAGTAAGGTGAATGGAGGGGAAGGTAAATTTAATGTTAAGAAAGAAAAGATTCAAAATAATTCAAAATGATTTCTTCAATATATTCTGTCATTTGGCTCAAAACCTCTCAAATGAATATTATCTTTATCCATATTTTACCAATGAAGAAAATGGAGGATTGAGAAATAACTACCAAAATGTCAGTTAGGTAATTAGCTAAAGAGCTGGCTTGAGAGTTTGGTTTGTTTTTTACTCTGCACCCTCCTCTGTACACCTGTATGAAAACACATATACACACCCAAACACACAGTAATATTTAAAGTTTGAAATGTTGCTCGGCAGACATGCCAGTTAGTTCTTGAAAGCTTTTATGTATTTGCACATGGTTCTCTATAGGTTTGACAAAACATTATTTCATTTGGTTTTCACAAGAAAACAAATGTTTGTCTCAGTATCCTGGTTAGTTTGGTTGAATTGCTCATTTTTCCCTTAATTCTAATAATTTTACAACCAGCAAATACTGTGTAGGATATACAATCTCATTTCTACTTTTAGTATCTCAAAAGTATAATGTACTGTTATAATATCTTAACTGATCTGTACCTTCATGTAGTCTGAGTCTTGGTCCATTTTGGATATAAAAATAATTTTAATTATTATTAGGAACGCTTGAAATATAACTTCCATTCTTCTTATTATGGTACTCATCAAATACCATACCTCATTAGGGCATTAGAAAAGATCTCTTTAAAATTCATTACATGCCATTAGCTAATTTGAGGAACATTTTAGAGACATAATTAACTAGAACCCAAATATGTTTAAAAATCTATTATAAAAACCTTTCAAGGAATCATCTTCTAAGATCTCATTTGTATCAACGGTGTAAAAATATTCATGAACCTCAAGGTTTTAGTTAGAAATTTAATAATGTATGTTTTAAAACAAAAGATGCCTGTCATATTCTAGTCTGATGACTTTAAAGATATAGGGATTTGTTTTCTATTAAAAAATATATATTAATTTAAAATTGATTATATTTTGCCTTTAAATTTTTGAATTCAATAAGTTTCAATATGAGAGCAAGGTACTACATCAGGTTATAGTTATTTCAGTTATTTAAAATATGGACAGGAAGTAATTTCAAAATGGATTTAATATCCTAGGAGTCTATGAACATTTAAAATCTGCAAAAATTTTAAGCATGTGTTCATGTATTAAACAATGGTTTAACATTGTAACTTTTATGGAAAAAAACTTCTGAAATAAAAGTGACCAAATTTTCTGATAGATTAGCTGAATTCATCTATTTATACATTTTTATTTCAATAAGCTTAGTGTATTTGAAAACAATTATAAATCAGAATAAATAATATTCTTGATGTTTTAGCTTTCAGTTTACTTTGAATTGAATTGAATTGAATTGAATTGAATCATTAAAGTTGGTCTTTGATATTATTTTAAAGGGACTATTTTACTTTCAAATGATATTTCCTAGTTTAGTTATTTCTGTTGTCATATTTTGTCTGTTCAATAGGGTGACATTCAAAAGCTTGACAAAACAGATGTATGGGCAATCATATTAAATATTTGAAAAAATATATTTATAATTATTCAGAGACTTGAGAAACTGTCTACATTTTATAGAAATGACTACACTCAAGCAATTTGTTTAACTTTTTGAGACAGCTCTTTATTTGCCTCTGAGGACATAAATTAAAGGTGGTAAAAAGATATGAAAAGAATAAAAGATCAAAATTTTATGCTTAATATACTTTAAGTGAATTTTGTTTTATGATCTACTTTTGGAAATGACTAATGAATAATACAGATTGGATTACTTAGCCTATCCTTTGCAGACCTGAGAATGAATGGGCATTTATCCCCTGGATAATTCTCATGGTAATGTTTTTCATGTGTAAGCTTGCTTATGAGAGAGTCTTTCTGTGAATTCATTCCTTCACAGAAACAACACAGTATGCTTTATTTCCTGTTTTAGATTCTATGGTGTGAAAATGCTGGTGATAGTCTATCTCCTACACAGATATGAGTCTAGTTTCTGCGAAGCATTTCATGGTTTCAAGTCATTGTAAAAAGTAGCTTACACCAGGATAGTCTGTGTTGTTTCATTTTCCTCTTGGATGACAGATTGCATTTGTGTGTGTGTACGTGTGTTTGTATGTGTGTAAATTTGAAATCAACTTCACTGTGCAAATTCTATGAAGCATTAAGTCCTAAAGTTCTATGGTCCAATCATTATAATTGCAAACCATAGTTTTGTGCAGTTAATGAAAGTAGACCACACAAGTGGATGTAGTTCTTTCTTTTGACCATATTTGAAAGTGTTAAACATATAAGAAGTTGTAATATTTTTTGTCCTGGATTCTTTTGGTTGCATTTACTAGTGAACATAGTAAGTTACTATTTTTGCAAAGTAATTCCGTAAGCAGAACTTCATCTCTTTGTTTCTAATTCTGTGTAGAAATATTAGAGTCTTGAACAAATGGGGTTTCCTTTTAAGAGCATTATTGATGCTGAAGAGTCTGCTATTTATTAGTACTCCTAAGAAAACAGGGAAAAAGGCAAGAAACAACAGGCTTTCAAATAAATGAACTCATGTTTTAATCACTTTCTTACTGAACAAAATAAGTATAATGCACATCTGAAATAGTTTCTTTTATTCTGTCTCTGTGTTCTATAAATCTCATTCTATATTCATATAGAATAGTACATATTTATATAGAAAGAATAATATTTATGTAATCTAATTATAAGCCTGATAAATATAGTGAGCAGTTTCTAAGTTACATTTATTTTAAGAAAGAAAATTATTTATAGGTAATAGGGTTTTGTCAAGACTAAAATTCTTAATTATAAGAAAATAATTAATTGAGATAATGAGTAACCAACTAAAAGTTTTTCTAGCCAAGTCTAGACGCAAGTAATTAATTATTTCAATTAGACATTTAGGGTGGCATTCTCTTTTCATTATTGGTGTTGCTGTTTATGATACAAAAGAAACATATTCCATTTTAATTCGTAAAATTTGAAATCTGTTCACTCTCAAAACGTTAATTTCAGAGCATCACAGAATAACTTATTTGGATAAAGGAAGCTGGCTGTTAGGAAACATCAATCAAACTGGCTACTTTAGAGTCAACTATGACCTAAGGAACTGGAGATTATTAATTGATCAGTTAATCAGGAACCATGAGGTATATTCTAGACTTGTTCATTAATGATCTTCTTTGATTCATGCACACTTGACAGTTTAATCCTAAACCATTCTTTTCTTTCCCCTGATTGGCCTCACAGGTTCTTTCTGTCAGTAACCGTGCAGGTTTGATTGACGACGCCTTCAGCCTGGCCAGGTATGTGTCCCTGTGAATCTCCAGAATAAAAACTCATACTTGTAGAATTTCCTCTTTTAAGAAGTATGTATGTTTTGAATATCAGAAATCTTAAAAAAAACAAAACCTCCCTTCCATGATCTTTGTGTTTGGATATGAATTTCATTCAGTACCACAAATTCTCAATCGATAACAGCCTTAGAGAAGTTTCAGGACAGGAGACGTTCATCAATTTTACTACAAGTTTAATTTAACATTCTAGAGATTAATAATCTGTTCCTTATTTCCTTAATGAGCCCTAAGAAATGACCCTTGTGCCATATTTAACTTTTGATAGAAAATAGCTTTAAGCATCTGCAATTTTTTTTCCTAACGTGTCAGTCCTTTTTAAATAGCTTTTTTTTTTAAAAAAAAAAATGTGATTCGTTATGAAAGGCCTCTACTGAGAGACAGAAATAAATGTTCCACAGGGTGTGACTTTTCTAGACAAAATATATATCAATCCTGTACCAGAAGCGTTTAGTGGTATTAGGTATCGTAATATTTGTGGTGCTTTCACAACTAGATTTGTAGTGTTTGAAACAGTTATTCCTTTGAATAATCATCTAATATAATAACATCAATCACCAACTACTTACTAAATTTTGAAACTGAATATTAAAACAATCTCAATCCTTTTAACATTTTGTAATTTTTCATATCTAGGTATAAATTAAATAATTGATAGTTTTAAGTTACAGCTTAGGACAGATTTCTCTGGTTATAACAATTTGCAATAGTCCATCCTAGGATAACAGTGGGAATTTGATTAACTATGTCTATGCTGATAGGCACACATGAGTTATCTTAGTTCCTGGCAATGTTTCATTCATAGAACCTTAGATTGCCTCTACAGTTTATGTAATCAATCAGATGTCAATTCTTTTCCTTATGTTATAAAGCAAATGAATACCCACAGCATTTAGAATTAATGAGCTTACATTAGAAGAGTTGATTACTTCTTTGACAGAGGCAAAGCCCAAGTTTTGAACCAAGTTACAGATTTTGGTTTGGTGGAAGTGAGGGAACAGAGAGAGAGAGACAGACAGAGACAGAGACAGAGAGACAGACAGAGACAAAGAGACAGAAACAGAAAGACAGAGAGACAGAGACAGAGACTGACAGAGATAGAGGCAGAGAGGCAGACAGAGACAGAGAGACAGACAGAGACAGAAAGACAGAGAGGCAGATGGAGACTGAGACAGACAGAGACAGAGAGAAACAGAGGAAGAGAGGGAGGGAGAGAAAGGAGGAATTCCAGGAAATTATTTGTGAAAAATACACTCTAGCTTTCCCTTTCATTATTGATTCTGAAGAGCTTGGGGACATCATCTTATTTGGCCAAACCTTGGAAACAACAGATATACTGTTATGTGGAGAAAATGACTGGGATGTAGGTTTTGCTTTCCAGTAAAATATGAAAAAGTTGAAAAAATATATACATAAAAATTACTTTTACATGGAGATTTAGAGAAGGTGAATGAAATGAAGGTAACAGAAAAGTTAGTTGTGTACCAAGAATAAAGGGCTAGTAAGCTATTATTATTTAATAGGTGGAGACGTTTGCATACAATATTACGGTCCTTCCATATCTATATGGTCTTAATTCTAGGACCAAATAGTGATATCAGAATTTACAGATGCTCAATTCCTATATATAAAATTGTATAGTGTTTGTAGATGACCTGTGTATATCTTTAAGACATATCTAGATTACCATATATTCCTATCACAATGTATAGTTACTGTGATATATTGTTTATAGAATAATAAGTAGAGAAAAATTTCAATTTTTGGCAGCCTTGAAAGTTGGAAATACCAACTGAACCAGGAAAATTTTCAAATCTTATTGACATCACACCTATCATTTATTTTCGTGCTCACATGACCTCCTTTAATCCTAATAAACACAGGGGTTACCCATTTTACAACAGGGACATGGAAATTAACAGGGGCAAAGTCACTTAGCTAAGGTCACACAGCTGTTAATTATGTGTGTGATATGGGGGACAGGGTGGGAAGAGAAATCCACCTTAAAGCCACTCACAGAAGAATTCATGGGTTCAAGTCAAAGTGAGCTTTCCCATTGTATGAAATTCATTCTCTTATTCTATTCTATTCATTTACTTGCAGCGTAAAACACACTACTTCCTTCATCCTGCTTCAGCATGGCCTTGACTGACTGTCTAGTGGGAGTTAGGTGAGGTTTCAGGGATCAGTATATCCACAGTTATCTCCTTTTTCAAAAATTTAATTTTCTTATTTTACTTAAGTAGTTGTTCAAAGGAGTTGATTTAACAATGCAGTTTAGGAGTATGATGAGTCGTGATCAATGTCACCCCTTTCAACATTCTCCTAGCCCATCCCCCCAAACCACTCCTTCCCTCACCTTTTCTTAATTTTGTAGGATATACATTGAACTCTTGAATGTATTATCCCGTCTTTCCTTTTCTCTATGTGTCTTCTCCTTACCCTTTGACCTCACTCCAGCCCTTTCAAGTACCGACTTCCAGTGTTTAATTTTTAATTGCAAAGATATTGTATAGATGGGTTACAGTCACATGAGTAAACAAAGAAGGGGGTAACAATGCTTGATAGGAAATGTACTCATTAACATTCTCATGTAACTGTAACCCCTCTGTATAGTATCTTTACAATAATATATATAAATATATATATAATTTAAAAAAAAGTGTGTGTGTGTGTGTGTGTGTGTGTGTGTGTATGTGTGTGTGTGCTGAATTGGAGATAAGAGCCTCACAGACTTTTCTGCCCTGGCTGGCTTTGAACTGAAATCTTCAGATCTCAACTTCCTGAGTAGCTAGGATTATAGCCAAGAGCCAATTGGCTCCTGGTTTGATTTTGTCTTTCTAAGGAATTTTACTGCATGCTATCCCATGCATTTATTTCTGCATTAATAAATGAATTCTAGCTTCCACATATGAAAGAAAACATGCCAGCTTAGTCTCTTTTGTACTGATGCCACTGAGCTTTTTTTTTTTGGGGGGGGGGTCCGGTCGTGGGGCCTGAACTCTGGGCCTGGGCACTGTCCCTCAGCTCTTCAGCTTAAGGCAAGCACTCTACCACTGAGCCACCTTCCCAGCCCCTGAACTTTTTTTTTCTACAGTCTTTCTAATGCATATTTTTTTGATGCATTCCTCCACTGAGGGGCGTTTTTGGCTGATTCCATATCTTGGCTATCCCTTTGGTGCTTTACCTCTTATCTTTTGGTTTCAAATAACTTAAGTGACCTAAGTCGAGTGCTTTGTTATCATTGTGTGAGGACTGCCTAATTTGATCTTTGGTTCAGCACTTGTGCCAATATATACTTGCTGCATAATTAATTGTAGGGTTGGCAACTGATTGTTTATTCAGGTATGAATTTCTGTGTCACAGTTTCAGTGTAATTAACTAGCCACAATGTAACAGTCTTTTCAGGCTACTTTTATAAAAATAATTTTATTGTGAAGGTGATTGTACATAGGGTTATAGTTGCATAAGTAAGGTAATGAGTACATTTCTTTTTGCATGTTAGCCCCTTAGCCCCTCACTCATTTCCTCCCAATCCCCGCCTCCACTTCTCTTCCCCACAAGTTGAAAAGTTCATTTCCAACATAGTGTCTAGTGAGTATCACTGTTTCATGGCTACTTTTACTTGTAAAAAAGTACACTGATACATTCTACTGGTGCAAGATTAAGACAATCTGGGAAATACAATGTCAAATCTTGTTTCCCTCCTCCTAGCCCTTGCTGACACTTTAGCTTCCGCACATGTTACAATTCTTGATATTTTATATGAGATGATCCAAATATTTCTTCTTCTACACATCTACACAACTTTTTTTTCCTTTTTTTTTCTTCTTCTTTTTTTTTTTTTTTTGCTTGGTCCTGGGGCTTGAACTCTGGGGTTGGGTGCTGTCGCTGCACTCTTCAGCTCAAGGCGAGGGCTTTACCGCTTTAGCCACAGCACCACTTCTGCTTTTCTAGTGGTTTATTGGAAATAAGAGTCTCACGGACTTTCCTGCCTGGGCTGGCTATGAACCATGATCCTCAGATCTCAGCCTCCTGAGTAGCTAGGATTACAGGTGTGAGCCACCAGTACCCGGCTAACTTATTTTCCTTAAAACAAACTTGAGCAGAAATGCCTCTATACTCTGGCTATTTTACACATCTAAGGAGTTTGCCATTGTTGGTGATGACATGCAGAAAGTGTCGTGGGGCTGTTGCAGTATACATGTATGCGTTTTGTAGGGATGATTTTTATACTAGGCATGTGATTTGGGATTCAAAGAGCCCAAGGTTCTTGATAAATACTAGAAGTTGTATTACAAAGTCTCTCTCAAGTTAGACCTCTGTTATCTAGGCCTGAGAGGGTTTAATTGCCCTAAATCCTTCATTATAATAAATACGTCTTTCCAATTCAGTCTAGTAGTCAGAATGATTTTTAGAAGTGACTCACTACTTACTTAAAGAAGTTGTGGAGCCTTACTTTTATACATGCAGTTTGTATTTTGGTGGTACTGGTACATGAGCACACATATTTATTAGGTGAGTGCTCTTATCACTTGAGATATGCCCCCAACCCTTTTTGCTTTAGTTTTACACTAAAACAAACCCCACCTCCTAATCCTATCTCTTGAGTAACTAATATAACAGGCATGTTCCACCACATCCAGCTTTTTGTTTTAGATAGTCTCACTAACTTTTTGCCTGGTATGGCCTTGAAAACAATCCTCCTATCAATGGCCTCCTTATGAGGAGAGATATGATTACAAGTATAAAATAGAATTCCCAGCTCCTCTGATGTTCTTAAAAATATATAAGTTTGTGCCAGGCACAGGTGGCTCACATCTATAATCCTAGTTATTCAGGAGGCTGAGATCTGAGGATCGCAGTTCAAAGCCAGCCAGGGTAAGAGTGTCCCTAAGACTCTTACCTCCAATAAACCACCAGAAAACTGTAAGTGCTGCTGTTACTCAAAATGGTAGAGCTCAAGCCTTGATCTGAAGAGCTGAGGGACAGCACCCAGGCCCAGAGTTCAAGCCCCATGACCCACACATAAATAAATAAATAAATAAATAAATAAATAAATAGTTACTGATGATTCTAATCCTATCATTTAAAAGGCTTTTTTGGGGGGTGTGGGGGGGTCGGTCCTGGGGCTTGAACTCAGGCCTGGGTGCTGCCCCTGAGCTCTTCAGTTCAAGGCAAGAGCTCTTCCAATTGAGCCACAGTGCCACTTCTGGTTTTCTGGTGGTTAATTGGAGAAAAGACCCTCATAGACTTTCCTGCCTGGACTAGCTTTGAACTGTGATCCTCAGATCTCAGCCTCCTGAGTAGCTAGGATTATAGGCATGAGCCACTGGTACCTAGCTTGGCTTTACTTTTTATATAGGTTTGAAAGGGTGTCTTTATCTTAATGTACATGCTCATATTTCGGGGAAATGGCCTGATGTTGCTTGGTTAGTGGCTATATTTTTCTGCATTCCTATTGCATAATTGATTATAGTATATTGTGATTGTGCAATGTAATTTTCAAAATATTACATTATATTTTATTCAACATAAATTATATAACTAATTTGATAAATCCCATGAAAAATCCTGCAGCAATTTCAGTGGATATACTTGAATGTAGAAGTTAATTTGTTGAGAAGAAACATCTTTTTATAAGTGAGCTTTCTGATGACAGACACATCATCTCTCTCCCTTTGTTCAGGTCCCTGAGTCAAGCCCTATGATTTTATGTACATGGTCTCTAGTGATAATACTCTGTCATTTCTTCTTCTTTATTTTTTTTGGAGATATATACTACTACATGAGATGTCTTACTACATTTCTATTTACAGTATTCTAATTTTCATTGGTTGTGTGGAGGGAATCGAGTCATCAAACGCCTTACAACTTTCATTTTACTGTGATTTACACTTTGAAATCAGTATCTAGCATGTGTAGATATTTTGTTATTGAATGTGTGTGTTTGGTTTGTGGGGTTTTTTTTGACAGAGCATTGTGAGATTGGAGAATATGAAAAAAATAGAACATTATGTTTTCCTGGTTGCCCATGACCTCACAACAGGGCAATCCATGGTAGATAATTAAGTCCATTCAGTACACACAAGCTAAGAAGAAAATATTATAAAATCATGGCAGAATAAGAACAAATGTAGCTAAAAAGATCATAAAAAACATTATATAAAAAAGTAGCCCTATGGCTCAAGTGGTAGAGTGCTAGCCTGAACCAAATAAGCTTAGGGTCAGTGCCCAGGTGCTGAGTTCAAGCCCCATAACTGACCAAAAACAAAAACATAAAGACAAAACTACCATATAGGAAATGACAGAAGAAAGTGAAAGTTTTCTAGAGAAATTTATTAAAGACTTAGAAGCAGAATAAGAAGCCAGTCTCTCTAGTTGATGCTTGTAATCCTAGCTTCTCAGGAGGCAGAGATTTGAAGATTGTGCTTGAAAGCCAGACAAGGGAGGAAAATCCATAAGATTTATTTCAGATTAACTACTGGAAAAAAAGGAAGTAGAGCTGTGGCTCAAGTGTGGTAGAACACAAACTTTGAGTACAAAAATCTCAAGGACAGTGCCCAGGCCCTGAGTTTAGGCCTCAAGACAGGCAAGAGTGTTCACGTGCGTGTGTGCATGCACTCACACACATACACACTCTTAAGCTTTTCTCAATATATATTTTTATTGTAAAGATACTGTACAGAGGGGTTACAGTTACATGAGAATGGTAATGAGTACATTTCCTATCGAGCATTGTTATCTTCTTTGTTTTTCCCCTACCATCCCTTCCCTCCCCCCCCCTCCCCAACCCCTCCCTCCCTCCACCCCCCCCAAAGTTGTAAAGTTTGTTTTCAACATAGTGTCTTGTACATCTCTTTGTTACAGTATTAAGTGAAGTAAGCCAGGCTCAAAGAAACATAGGTTCCATGGTTTCCATTATCTGCAATAACTAGTGTATGTCTAAGACAAGCAGAAAAGGTCAAAAGCTATGTACATATGACGATATAAGATGATGCTAAGTGAAATGAACCCCAAGATAGGAACACAAAAAGTTTTGTTTTTCTTGATGTTGTTTTTTAATGTACTTATAATGTACTGTGTGATTTTTTTTTTTTTTTTTTTTTTTTTTTGGCTATCGTGGGGCCTGAACTCTGGGCCTGGGTGCTGTCCCTGAGCTCTTTAGCTCAAGTCTAGCGCTCTACCACTTGAGCCACAGTGTCACTTCTGGCTTTTTCTGCTTATGTGGTGCTGAGGAATTGAACCCAGAGCCTCATGCATGTGAAGCAGGCACTCTACCACTGAGCCAACTTCCCAGCCCCATACTATGTGATCTTTTGGTTCTTTTGTATGTTCTTCCCCCATGGTATAAACCCTTTTCATTTCTTTTGTATGTTCTTCCCCCATGATATAATCCCTGTTTTCAGTGTATTTAATGTGATGCCCTGCATCTTGTATACACATTTTTCTAATTTGGGGAGGGGAACGGAAATAGCAAAATGCTAAAATAAGGATACACTTAAGCTTAAGAGGAGAATTCCAGTGGACAGAGCCTGTTGCTAAAGGACCATGCACATAATCCTGGCTACTCAACAGGCTAAGATCTAAAGACTGTAGTTCAAAGGTAGCCCAGGTAGAGAAGTCTGTGAGACTCTTACATCCAATTAACCAGAAGTGAAGCTCAAATGGTAAATTGACAGCCTTCAGTGACAGTATCTTAGCCCTAAGTTCAGCACCCATATCAACACACACACACACATGAATAAGAACAGGGAAAAGGATAAACTACTGGATGAACTTACTGCAGCCATTGTTACATGAGTACAAGTTGAGTGGAGAGGTGATTTGTGATTTTTTCAAGCGTAGGTTTGGCAGCTATTATTTGTTAATTTACTGTATGATAAAAACTGCAAAGCTACAAGGTTAACAGTGGGAAATACCGTCACAGCAATGGATGTTTAAAGTTACTACATGCTTTAAGTACAATTTAAAATCTATGGAAGTATATATCCCAGACATTTGGCCTTGCACAGCAATTTACATGGAAATATTTAACACTTAGTAATTTTTTTTTTTTGGTCTTCGTGTCAGTGGCTCATGCCTGTAATCCTATCTACTTAGGAAGCTGAGATTCTAGGATTGTGATTAAAAGCCAGCCAGGAGATTCCTTTTTTTTGGGGGGGGGGCTCAGTCATGGGGCTTGAACTCTGGGCCTGGGCGCTGTCCCTCAGATCTTCAGCTCAAGGCTAATGCTCTACCACTTGAGCCACAGCACCACTTCAGGCTTTTTTTCTTTTTGCTTATGTGGTGCTGAGGAATCGAATCCAGGGCTTCATGCATGCAAGGCAAGTGCTCTACTACTGAGCCACCTTCCCAGCCCCATCCAGGAGATTCTTATCCCTAATTAATCACAAAAAGCCAGAAGAGGAACTATGGCTTAAGTGATATAGTAGAACACTAGCCTTGAGAAGAGAGCTCAGGGCAGCATCCTGGCCAGGAGTCCCAGCATCAGCACAAAACTAAAACAAACAAACAATAAAATCTTATTTCAAAAAAATTTTTTTCTTTTTTTGTCAGTCCTGGGGCTTGAACTCCTCAAGACCTGAGCACTGTCCCTGAGTTTCTTTTGCTCAAGGCTAGCACTCTACCACTTGAGCAATAGAGCCACTTCTGGCCTTTTCTGTGTATATGGTATATTGTGGACTTGAACCCAAGGTTTCATGCATGCTAGACAAGCACTCTACCACTACACCACATATTTATAATAACTAGTATATGTCTGGGACCAGCAGAAAAGCCTGATAAGATGATGTTAAGCAAAATGAACCCCAAGATGGAATTTATAAGGTACCACGTGATCTTTTTGTTGCTTTGTATGTCCCTCTCCCATGGCATAACAAAATGTTTAAACAAAATGTTTAAATAGGGATACAGATTGACCCATTGCAACAATGAGATGTACAAGACATTATGTCAAAAAATGAACTCGACAATTTGGGGGGGGTAGGGAGTGGAAGGGTGGTTGAGGAGTTGAGAGGGACAGAAAAACAAAGGAGGCAACAATGCTTGATAAGAAATGTACTCGTTACCTTGCTCATGTCACTGTCACCGCTCTGTACAGTATTTTCACAATAAAAAACTTTTTTAAAAATTTATTTTTCTACGAGTATTCCATGGATAGTTCATTATCATCCTTCTTCTATTCTGTTATTATTTATTTATTTATAAACTAATATCCTGGAAAATTCAATTGTGCAGAATTCGTACCAATTTATATATTATATACATATATATGTATATATAAATGCCATAGCATACTTTTTTAGTCTGTATAACAAATTTTAAAATCAAGGTATAGGCTGCTTTGTTAAGGACCTAGTCACTTGCAAAATCTCAATAATGATAAACTGTTGCAATTAAATAATGATTACATTTCACCTAACATCAGCTTATCTGACCTTTTCTGCTTGTCGCAGACATATACTAGTTATTGCAAATAAGGGAAACCATGGAACTTAAGTTTCTTTGGGCCTGGCTCACTTCACTTAATATAATTAACTCCTGCTTTCACTGTATTTGATGTTGGTACAATTTGGGGAGGGGAAGGGAAAAAACAAATTGTTTAACTAGGGATACAGGTGGACCCATTGCAACAATGAGATGTACAAATCTTTATGTCGAAAAGAGAACTTCACAACTTTGGCGGGAGTGTGTGTGGGGGGAGATGGAAGGAATGGGAAGGGGAAACAAAGGAGGAGGCAAAAATGCTTGATAAGAAATGTACTCATTATCTTGCCCATGTAATTGTAACCCCTCAGTAAGGTATTTTCACAATTAAAAAAAAGAAAAACAGCAATGATTACAGTTAAAATGATTGGGTTGCTGACTTTAAATCGGATTGAGATTAGCAGGTGCTTTCTACAAAATAATAGTGTTTAATTGGCAGCATAAGAAGCAAAGGTGCTTCAAGTGTTGGAGAACCGTCATCAGAAACTGTGTAATGCAGACTTAATGACTGTATAAGTTAAAAGTTAATAAATCCACTCTTGTAACTCTGTTTCATAGCTTATAAATCTGAGAAATTTAGTATAGTAGCCACTGAAGTTATAACAGATTTGAAAAACTGACTTATTCATTCTGTATTGTTTCATTTCTGGATCTTGTTGTCAGAAATAGTAAGAGCACTTTGTATGTCCCTCCCCCACAGTATAACCCTTGCTATCACTGTATTTGATGTCGTATAATTTGTGAAGGGGAAGGGGAAAAACAAATCGTTTAAACAGGGATACAGGAGGACCCATTACAACAATGAGATGTACAAGTCCTTATGTTGAAAACGAACTTTACAACTTTGGTGAGGGGGGGGAGGCGAACTTTGGTGAGGGGGGGGGAGGCGAACTTTGGTGAGGGGGGGGAGGCGGGGGGGGGGGAGGAAGGAGGATTGGGTGGGGGGGCGGGGGGAGGATGGAAAAGGATGGGAAGGGGAAACAAAGGAGGAGGCTACAATGCTTGATAAGAAATGTATTCATTATCTTGCCCATGTAATTGTAACCCCTCTGTACAGTATTTTCACAATAAAAAAATAAAGAACATCAAAAAAAAAAAAAAAAGGAAGAGTAAGAGCACTGTTAAAATTCCTTTAAGTTCACTTGCAATTGGGGGAGGGAAGGGATAGTGGGAGAACAACAAGGGAAGGGGTAACAATGCTCCAAAAGAAATGTACTCATTGACTTACTCATGTAACTGTCACCCCTCTGTGCAACATTGTACAATAAAATAAAATTTAAAAATTTCCTTTAATGGTGTTTACAAAACAGACTGCTTCCAACATGTTTTATGTTGGTTTGTGATTGGTGGGAATGATGCTACAGAGGTTGAACTCAGCCTTGTGTTTGCTAGTCAAGGGCTCTGCTACTTGAGTAATGTTTCTAACCTTTTTACTTTTAGCTTATTTTTCAGACAGGGTCTCACCCTTTTGCCCTGACTAGCATCATACCACAAATCCTCCTATTTCTACCTCCAGAATAGCTGAAATTATGGACCTGCATCACCATGCCTAGTTGTTTTTTTTTAAGATAAAGACTGGCAAACTTTTGCTTGGACTAGCCTCTATTCAAGATTCTTCTGTATTCACCTCTTGAGAGATAGATACTGGCCACCATGCTTGGCCAACATGGATTTTTATAAGTGCTTTTAAGTTTCTGTATGGCCATCTTGTATTATGTTTAAGGATTCTCTGACAAAGAATATGTTGATTGTTTTCTACTTACTGTAGAAAATAGTATGATGTTCCTGAAAAGCCACTGTACCTGAACCCAGCAGGATGAGAAACTTCTTTTCTAACTTTGATACCTGATTGTCTCAATATTTCATGTGCTAGAGTGTCCTGATACCTAGTGGAAATGGGGAAGGTAGGACTTAGAAACTTGAGGAATACCATAGAAGACTGTAACTTTCTGTCCTGAATTCTCCACTCTACTACTAAGATAACAAGATTGTTTTACCCACACTGAAAAGCACTATAAACTGCCTAAGGACCTTTGATTCATTTGAAGTTCTCTATTGCTTCAGGAATTCTAATTTTATGAGGTGTATTGAGTTTCAGACATTTTTCCCCCAATTGCTACATCTCACATGTACTAGGCAGCTACTTCACTATTATATCCATACACCCATCCCTTTTAGCATTAGGTTATTTTCTACATAGGGCCTTGCATTTCGATGTGGGGCTGGCAATACTCCTATCTTGGCCTCCTATGCAATTGTGATTATAGATATATGCTACTATAACCAGCTGATTTATTCAGGGAGACTTTGGCTAACTTTTCCTCATCCTCAGCCTTCATAATCTCCACATCCCATGTAACTGGAATAAATAGCACAGGATACTAGAGCCAGTCTACCTTGCTCTTTTAAAAAATACTATGTAATCTCAGCATGAAAGAATTTCCTAGTTATGTTTAAAATAAAATTGTATATGTTATTAGTAATAATAGAATACTGATTCCGATGTGTAGTTTATTATACTTACTGAACAAAGGGAGAAAGATTTTTTTAGATGTTTGTATTAGAGACATTATGGAAAAATAACCATGTTTAATTATGCTCTTACTTGTCTTTTATTAAGAACCTAGAATATATGGATTGAAATTAAATATTTATGAAATTCTTAAAGTGCTAAAATTATTGTGAAGTGATAATTATTAGCAGGGGTTGGGGGAGTGTATAGATTTTTAGTCCTCTAGCATTAACCAAAAAAACATTAAGATGAGCTCAGTATTATCCTCTTTGAGTGTCTAACTGGTAGAAAGTATCCTATGTTTTGAGCAGTGCTCACAATGAATCCTAAGAGAAGCTTCCTGAAGCTTCCTGGCTTTCTCCAACACATCCCATTTCTCACATCCCTAAGGATGTGGGATTCTAATTATCTATTTGTCAGCAGCAGCAAAGACACATCCTGAAACATTACAAAAAAAGTCACCTTGAAGTCCTTTCTGTGTAAGCCTTTCTACATGCAATTATTTTAAAAAACCCATATCACAAAGGCCCTTAAATTAGTCTTAGTTTGTGCAACACTTTGCCACAGATAAATGTTAAAAATAGTCTGAAAAACCTTTCCAGGACATTTTACTGTAATGAGCTGAGAGTCTTCAGCTTCCTTTCTGTTACAACCCAGTAAGAGCCTAGAGCATATTTCTGGGTGTTCCAGCTGTCCTGATCATTCCTGCAGGCATATGCTGGTTTGCTCAAGGTGAGAAAGTG